TGGAGAAGTCCTAAATCAACTGTATTCTTGAGGTGAGTGCTCAAGGAAGAACAACTGAGCACAGTAAGGAAATAGTGGGAAAACAGTTGTAGCCTGAGTAGCAGCACACAGAGATGACTCCCAGTTGCAGAGGAAAAGGGTGAGCAGAGCCCTGAGAAATCCCATTTGCAGGAATACTTAAACCCACAACCCTCACTAGAGAGGAATCCACTCACTACAAAACAGCAGTTTAACAAGGTGAGCTCCCCAGAAAACCCACAGCTACTTTGTTCAGAGAAGGAACTCCTACTGTCTCTTCCCCAACCCTCCCAGAGCACAGGTGCAATACAGCGTGGTGCAACCTTGCGACAGGAGTCACTGTCAGAAGCCATACCATGCTGAGACAGAAGCCATCTGATAATCTTTCTCCCAGGAGCCTCAGACATACCTGCATTCTAGCAAGGAAAACAGCCCCACACGTCCAACTGGGCACAACAGAGTAAAGGCAATCCCAGTACCCTAGTCCATAGAGCTCTCGGCATATCATCAGATAGTAGAAGCAGAGCAGCAAGGATATTCAGCTTTTAGGAACCTAGAAATACAGATGCTTGCCCCAGATTTGGGAATCACTGTCCTCCCCACTTCTTCCCCTCCTCTTGACTACTTAAAACATCACACTGGTTGATGTAAAAACTTGTGCACACCAGGACTAGGGTTCCTATGCCCTCATCCTGTCTGCCTATTGAGGCTCAGAGCTCCCCATACACTACAGACAAGTTCTTGCAATAGAGTCTGATCATGGAATAGGAATGTGCTCGTGCTTCAGGCAATGCACACATCTGGGAGGGTGAAACACCCAGGACGGTGCACTCACTCTGAACGATGAATCAGTCCATTCCCAACATTAGCAAAGAGAAGCACCTGCTGACTAAGCTCTACACCATTCAGCCCTAGCCCCTGAAACTAACAGTAGCCAGAGTTTCTGTGCCACACCTAACACAGGCATGTCTCTAAACTCTTGCACCTTCTGTGAAATATTCAGTACCACTACCATCAGGGAAATGAGAATAAAAACCAAGAGACACAATCTCACTCCAGTTAAATGGTTATTAACCAGGCCATCATCGAGGCACAGCAGGTAAGCTGCTGCCTACAATGCCAACCTCCAGCACCAGAATACTGGTTCAGGTCCTGGATGCTCCACATGCAATGCAGCTCCCTGCTAATACATCTAGGAAAGCAGCAGATAATGGCCCTCGTACTTGGGCCCTTGGAAGACTTAAATGGAGCTCCAGGCTGCTAGCTTCATTGCAGCCACATGGGAAGAGAACATCTTTAATTACAAGATAAATACAAATATTAATATCTCACACCTGTTGGAAAAGTTATCAAAAAAGACAAAAATTGGGACCAGTGCTGTGGCACAGCAGGTAAAGCCACCGCCTGTGGTAACGACATCCCACATGGGCACTGGTTAGATTCCCAGCTGGTCCACTTCCAATTCAGCTCTCTGCTATGGCCTGGGAAAGCAGTAGAAGATGGCCCAAGTCCTTGGGCCCCTGCACCCGCGTGGGAGACCTGAAAGAAGCTCCTGGTTCCTGGTCTTGGATCAGCGCAGCTCCGGCCACTGCAGTCATCTGGGGAATGAACTGGTGGATGGAAGACCTCTCTCTCTCTCTCTCTGCCTCTCCTCCTCTCTCTGTGTAACTCTTTCAAAAAAATAAATGTCTTAAAAAAAAAAAAAAGATCTCCCTCTTTGCCTCTCCCTCTCTCAGTAACTCTTTCAAATAAATAAAGCTTTAAGAAAAAAGAAAACAGGTTGGCGCCACGGCTCACTAGGCTAATCCTCCACCTTGCGGCGCCAGCACACCGGGTTCTAGTCCCAGTCGGGGCGCCGGATTCTGTCCCGGTTGTTCCTCTTCCAGGCCAGCTCTCTGCTGTGGCCAGGGAGTGCAGTGGAGGATGGCCCAAGTGCTTGGGCCCTGCACCCCATGGGAGACCAGAAGTACCTGGCTCCTGCCATCAGATTAGTGAGGTGCGCCAGCCGCAGCGCACCAGCCACAGCGGCCATTGGAGGGTGAACCAACAGCAAAAGGAAGACCTCTCTGTCTCTCTCTCTCTCACTGTCCACTCTGCCTGTCAAAAAAAAAAAAAATTAAAAAAAAAATCAACTGCTGCTAAGGATGCAGAGAAAAGGAAACCCTTGCACACTGCTGACGGGAATGTAAATTTTCCATAATAAAGCTATTATGGAAACACAGTATGGAGGCTCTTCAAAAATTAAAAGCAGAATTATCATAAGATCCAGCAGTCCTGGATTAAATAAACAAATAAAATAAATATAATAAATCTTCAAAAAAAACACAGCAGTCCCACTACTGGGTATATGTTCTCTGGGTATATAGTTCATTTTTTGTTACTGTAAAAAAAAATTACCCAAGGCAAGCTACTTTATAAAGAAAAAAATTTGTTTTGACTCACAGTTCTAAAGGTGCAACATTCATGGGCCTTGTCCGGTGACAGCCTTCTTGCTGACAGAGTATTACATGGCAAGAGACAGGCAGTGCATGTGTCTAATCTCTATCCTTCTTATAAAAGCCATGGTCGGGGGGAGAGGGAGTGGCGCTGTGGCTCAGCAGGTTAATGCCCTGGCCTGAAGCGCCAGCGTCCCATATGGGCACCGGTTCGAGATCTGGCTACTCCACTTCCAAACCAGCTCTCTGTTATTGCCTGGGAAAGCAGCAGAGGATGGCCCAAGTCCTTGGGCCCCTGCACCCACGTTGGAGACCTGGTAGAGCTCCTGGCTTTGGATCGGCACAGCTCCGGTGGCTGCGGCCAATTGGGGAGTGAACCGGCAGATGGAAGACCTCTCTCTCTCTCTCTCCCTCTCTGACTCTCCTCTCTCTGTGTAACTGACTTTCAAATAAATAAATAATTAAAAAAAAAAGCCATCAGGACTCAATCATGGGGGCTGTACTCTGATCTGATGCAAACCTAATCACCTTTAAGAGTTGAACTGAGTTTCTAGTCTCTTAAGACCATTAACATGATTTGAGAGATTCAACTCATACATGAGTTTCATGGGACAAACCATATTCAAAACACAACACATCCAAAGGAACTAAAACACGAGTCACCATTGTGACTGATCCTTACAATGCTGGCACCCTGCATCATATTGAAGTGCCAGTTTGAGTTCCATCCAGCTCCCTAACACACCCGAGGCCCTTGTCTCACACATGGGAGTGGAGTTCCAGGCTCCTGGCTTTTGCCTGTCTCAGCCCTGGCTATTGTGGCTATTTGGGGAGTGAGACAGCAAGTAGATCTCTCTCTCTCTGCTTTATGCCTTTCAAATGAATAAATATTTCTTAAAAAGGAACTGAGGGGTTGGCATGGTGGCACAATGGTTTGAGTGGCTATCTGCAGTATCAGCATCACATATGGGTAACAGTTCAGGCCCTGGTTACTTCAGCAACTTCTGATGCAGCTCCCTGCTAGTGTGCCTGGAACAGCAGCAGAGGATGGCCCAAGTGCTTCAGCCCCTGCACAGATGGAGCTCCTGATTTCAGCCTGCTCCAGCCACAGCCCCAGTCATTGCAGCCATTTGGGGAGTGAATCAGCAGATGGAGAACTTATCTCTCTTTCAAATACATAAATTTAAAAAAAAAAAAAAATTGAAACAATGTCAAAAAAAATCTATACCTCCCATGTTGACTGTAGTACAGTTGCACTGTTCACACAACTAGTATGTGTAATCAACCTAAGTATAAAATGGAAAAAGAAAATATGGTATAGGTGTGGGTGTGTGGTGCAGTGATTAATACATTGCTTTGGATGATGACATCCCATATTGGAGTGTCTTAGTTCCAATTCTGGCTCCATTTCCGATTCCAGCATCCTGCACACCCTGCGAGGCAGGAAGTTCCAGTAGTAAGTCCCTGCTATTCACACAGGAAACCAACAATGAGTCCCAGCCTCCAGCCAGGCCCTCACTGCTGTTGGCATTTGAGGAGTGAACCAGCAAATGCAAAATATGCCTCTGCCTTTCAAATAAATAAATAATTTAAAAAAAGAAAGAGAAAGATATGATATGTATGATATAATGGTATATTATTCAACCTTAAAAAACAAAGAATTTCAGGGCCGGCACTGTGGTGCTATGTGTTAATCCTCCACCTGCAGCATCAGCATCCCATAAGGATGTTGGTTCTAGTCCTAGTTCTATGCCCGGCTGCTCCCCTTCCAATCCAGCTCTCTGCTATGGCCTGGGAAAGCAGCAGAAGATGGCCCAAGTCCTTGGGCCCCTGCACCCATGTGGGAGACCAGGAAGAGGCACCTGGCTCTTGGCTTCGGATTGGTGCAGCTCCGGCCGTTTCGGCCACCTGGGGAGTGAACCAACGGATGGAAGACCTTTCTCTCTGTTTCTCCCTCTCAAATAAATGAAATCTTAAAAAGAGAGAGAGAGAGAGAGAGAGAGAGAGAGAGAGAGAATTGCTATCAGTGTGACAACTGGGCAAATGTGGAAGACATTTTAAGTAAAGTAAGACAAATACTGCAGGATCTCATTTATACATATAATCTTAAAAGGCAAACTCACAGAAGCAGAGAGCAGAATGCTGGTTAACCAGTTTGGTGGGGAAGGAGTTGGAAGATTTGGACATGTTGGTGAAAGGGTCAAAGGGTACACAATTTTGGTAATGAGGTAAGTTCAAGAGATCTACTGTAAAACATGGTAACTAGTTAATAGTTTTAAAAAAATAACTTACATAATCTCTATCTGCTTTTAGATTTCAAATTTCATATTTAGAAATAAAATATAAGCCAAGAATTGTATCTGCTATAAAACAGACTGTTAAACTTTTAAAATGGATAAAACAACTTTATATACATATAAAAAGGATTTCTTCCTAGATGAGCTAATTTAACACATTACAATCAGACTTTGAAAATTTTATATTTTCCTTTGTGGTAACAATAGAAATCTTAATAATGAAACATGTTGGAAGAAAAAGAAATCTTACCATTTTTGCTGACATCCAGTTCCCTGAGATTAATAAGATTTGCAATAGATGCTGGTAATGTGGTTAAATCATTGTCTGGTAAACTCAGTTTGTGTAGAGACTGACAGTTAAAGAGTTGCTATTGAAAAAAAGGAAAGAAACAATCTTGATTATCTTTTAAGTTGCCTTAAATATTTCACAAACTAATACAAATAAATGTTATTAGTCATATTAAAACTGAATGACTTGTAATTACACCAATACCAGGAAAGATCTTGAATTGTTTTGGTAATGCTGTTATGGATATGAATACAAGTGAAACATTCAGAATGATTTACAGCCCTCATAATTCAACCCTAAGCAAAACAAACTTAGAATAAGTACATGGCTACATTCTTTGCTGAGGTAATAAAAAATAACTGCTATTAAATGTAATCAACTGTGAGGCTTGCTTCTCCAACAACCTATTCCAAAGTAAAAGCTGTAACATTGTTACCAAAGTATAAAATTTTTAGGTATGATTAGATGGATAAATGATTCAGTTATTTGCATGGTTATATCAACTTCTCTCTTTTTTTTTTGGACAGGCAGAGTGGACAGTGAGAGAGAGAGAGAGAGAGAGAGAGAGACAGAGACAGAGACAGAGACAGAGAGAAAGGTCTTCCTTTTGCCATTGGTTCACCCTCCAATGGCCGCTGTGGCCGGCACACCGCGCTGATCCAAAGCCAGGAGCCAGGTGCTTCTTCCTGGTCTCCCATGTGGGTGCAGGGCCCAAGCACTTGGGCCATCCTCCACTGCACTCCTGGGCCATAGCAGAGAGCTGGCCTGGAAGAGGGGCAACCAGGACAGAATCCGGCACCCCGACCGGGACTAGAACTTGGTGTGCCGGTGCCGCAGGTGGAGGATTAGCCTAGTGAGCTGTGGTGCTGGCTCAACTTCTCTCTTTTCAACACAATCCCCAGACTCAGACTCCACTGGTGGGGACCAGGAAAGGAGATTAATGTTGCATTTTCCATATTCTTGAGCAGAACTGGCTAAGGAAGATAAATTACTTCCTAAAGAATGACAGAGTAAAAAAGCCTTTTGCACATGCCATCTAGCATGTACAGAAACACACAGAAATCTAAAACAAGTACTTCAAGAAAAAAGGCTATATGCAACACACATATTTTCTATTCTATGCTATTAGGGTCAACAGATGCAATACAGGATTCTCAACTAAATTTGGATTTCAAGTAAATAGTAACAATTTATATATAATATATATATTTTAGTAAAGAACATACAAGAATATGTTGAATGCCACATACACTAAAAGAAGAATTATTCCATGTTTGTGTGAAAATTCCAATTAACTGGTGATCTGCATTATAATTTTTTGATTCATTTTTTTTCTTTTTCTTTAAAGGAGCATGATCTGGGCATTATCTGCCTCTAGGCTGTTTCTTTATTCTAAAGATTTATTTATTTATTTGAAAGTCAGAGTTACACAGAGAGAGGAGGAGAGGCCGGGGGGGGGGGGGGGGGGGGAGGTCTTCCATCCATTGGTTCACTCCCCAGATGACTGCAATGGCTGGAGCTGCGCTGATCTGAGACCAGGATCCAGGAGCTTCTTCCAGGTCTCCCACAGTGGTGCAGGGGCCTAAGCACTTGGCCCATCCTCCACTGACTTCCCAGGCCACAGAAGTGAGCTGGATTGGAAGCGGAACAGCCAAGATTCAAACCAGCAGCCTATATGGGATACAAGCATGGCAGGCGGCAGCCTTACCAGCTACGCCACAGCACTGGCCCCTCATGTTTTCAAAATCTGGCCACACATACAAAGTATGAGTCACTAACAGGTCTCTACCCAAAATTTCAAAAACATTATTTTTTGGGTGGCAAATGATCCCAACAATGAAGTCAAAGCTCCTGCAACTTTTCCTTAAAACACAAGAAACCAGGTAAAGGATAAAGGGCTAGGGACCGGCACTGTGGTATAGTAAGTAAAGCTGCCACCTGCAATGCTGGTATCCCATATAGGTGCCGGCTCAAGTCCCGGCTGCTCCACTTCTGATCCAGCCTTCTGCTATGGCCTGGGAAAGCAGTAGAAGATGGCCCCAAGTCCTTGGGCCCCTGCACCTGTATGGGAAAGGTGGAAGAAGCTCCTGGCTCCTGGCTTTGGATCAGCCCAGCTCTGGCCATTGCGGTCACCTGGGGAGTGAACCAGCAGATGGAATACCTCTCGATCTCTCTGCCTCTCCTTCTCTCTCTGTGTGACTCTTTCAAATAAGTGAAATCTTTTTAAAAAAGAAACTGATGAAGGACTAGTATTTAAGAGAAAAGTACACAAAAAAGAAGGTGATAATTTAAGGCAGTGTTTCATGACAATAAACCAATTTGCTCTTCCCAAATACTAGATTTCAGACATGGAAGTCCTTCCCAAACATTTCCAAACTATAATGGATGAAAACAGAATATGCCACTTAACAGTGGAATCATGATGTCATAGCTCAAACAACTATCCTCAATTAAAACACTGGATACCAAGAGAAATTATCAATTTTTATGAAAACTAGAAAACAATAGGACTAATTTAAGTTCGTTGTCCAGAAATTGTGTGCTGTCATTGTCTTAGTGGCTATAATACAAATGGAATTAAATACAAAACTTTAAGTTATTTCTGTAAGTATTCAAGCGATTAATTTGAAGAGATAAAGTTTAAAATCTACTTTTTAAAGGCACAAATTGTGGGGACCAGTGCTTTGGCAAAATGGGTAAAGCTGTTACCTGCAAGGCCGGCATCCCATATGGGTGCCATTTATGTCCTGGCTGCTCCTCTTCTGATCCAGCTCTCTGCTTATGGCATGAGAAAGCAGAGGAGCATGGCTCAAGTGCTTGGGTCCCTGCATCTGCACTGGAGACCCAGAAGGCTCCTAGCTTCAGACTGGCTCAGCTCCAGTGGTTGCGGCCATTTGGGAAGTGAACTGTCTCCTGTCTCTCCCTCTGTCTATACGTAACTCTACCTCTCAAATAAAGTCTTTAAAAAAAAAGTCAATTGTGGCATATACCCCAAGATAAAATTATACCAAAATATGAAAACAACACAAATTGGGGTGGCACTGTGGCACAGCAGGAAAAGCCACTGCCTGCAGTGCCAGCCAGCATCCTATATGGGCTCTGGTTCGAGTTCCAGCTGTTCCACTTCTGATCTAGCTCTCTGCTAAAGCCTGGCAAAGAGAAGATGTCTCAAGTCCTTGGGCACCTGCACCCACGTGGGAGACCTGGAAGAAGCTCCTGACTCAGCTTCGGACGGGCCCAGCTCTGGCTGTTGCAACAAATGGGCAGTGAACCAGCAGATGGAAGACTCTCTCTCTCTCTCTCTCTCCCCCTCTAATTCTGCCTTATAAATAAATAAATCTTTTTTAAAAAAAGAACAAATTTATATGGATACTATTATGGTAATCAGGTAACAACAACCAATCTTGAAAGACATTATTGACATACCTTTGGAAGTTCTTCAATTTGATTAGCATCTAAATAGAGTTCTTCCAAAGTTTTTTCAAAAGTAAAAATCTCTTTGGGAACTTGTTCCAAACTGCAATGAGAATAATCCAGAGTAGTGACAGTCTCCTCTTCCCCTCGAAGACAGCGACATGGTACCAACCGCACAAACAAACTTCGTTTTGTAGTCATTTTTAGACACTGAAATGTTCAAATAAAAAATCAAATTATATACACATTACAACAATTTTTCAAAACAAGTTATTCCTATTCATTTGTCACAACTCATATGATAATAAACTAACACCTCTTCCTCAACCAAAAGCAACCAAAGAGAATTGATTTAACACTGCTTTTGAGGCTGTGGTGTAGTGGATAAAGCCGCCACCTGCAATGCAGGCATCCCATATGGCTGCCAGTTCTAGTCCCAGCTGCCCTACTTCCAATCCCGCTTTCTGCTAATGCACCTGGGAAAGCAGTGGAAAACAAGCTAAGTACTTGGGCCCCTGCACCCACATGGGAGACCTAGTCCTGGGCATTGTGGCCATTTAGGAAGTGAACCAGCAGATAGAAGCACTCCTGCTCTCTCTTTCTCATTCACTCACTCCCTCCCTCCTTCCTTCCTTCCTTCCCTTTCTAACTCTAACTCTGCCTTTCAAATAAATAAAGTAAATCTTAAAAAAAATGTTGCTTTAACACTCACATTTACATCTGTAGGTTTTCAAATTACACTCAAACAGTATGGCACTTTACAATCTGAAGTAACCATTTATATGTTTCCACAAAAAATGAGTTTTGTGAGTCTGCTTCTTAGTTCTTAAAAATTCTAACCTAACATTTTTCTTTCAATTTCTGGCACTAAAAGTCCCATCATTAATTAAGAATGTGACTGTGCAATTATGAGTAGGAAATAAAAATACAAAGACACGGGGCCGGCGCCGTGGCTCACTAGGCTAATCCTCCGCCTTGCGGCGCCGGCACACCGGGTTCTAGTCCCGGTTGGGGCGCCGGATTCTGTCCCGGTTGCCCCTCTTCCAGGCCAGCTCTCTGATGTGTCCAGAGAGTGCAGTGGAGGATGGCCCAAGTGCTTGGGCCCTGCACCCCATGGGAGACCAGGAGAAGTACCTGGTTCCTGCCATCGGATCAGCACGGTGCGGCGGCCATTGGAGAGTGAACCAATGGCAAAAGGAAGACCTTTCTCTCTGTCTCGCTCTCTCACTGTCCACTTTGCCTGTCAAAAAAAAAAAAAAAAAAAAATACAAAGACACTTTAGGATTCCTAACCAGCCATTGGGGGGGTCAATCACCCTGCAACTTTCCTACAAGAAAATTTCCATGTTTTTCAAGTACATTTTCTTTCAATGAGATAATAGCCTTATAAGTCTTAAATGTGTTAGATTACACACAGGAACACAAACTTGCTTAAATAAAGTATAGACTTCAGTTTAACTGAGGGAAAAACCAATTCTGAATCAGCAAAAATTTTTATCAAGGCTAATTTTATTAAGTACACAATGTAGGCACTTAATTGCCCATAGGATGAGGTAAGATTAGCAATAAAAACTTACTTCAGTAAGAATGACTGAGAGTGTTATCAATTCTTTGTAGGTAAAATGGTAAATTCTTTTTTTCAAAACAGATTTATTTTTATTCATGTGAAAGAGTAACAGAGAAAGGGAGAGAGTGAGAAAGGTCTTCATACACTGGCTCCTCCCCAATGGCCAGGCCAAAGTCAAGAGCCTGAAACTCCACCTGAGTTTCCCATGTAGGTGGCTAGGGCCTAAGTACTTGGGCCACCTTCCACTGCCTTTCCAGCCACATTAGCAGGGAGCTGAGTCAGATGCAGAGCAATGGAGACTTGAATGGGCACTCTAAAATATGAGATGCCCACATTCCAAGTGGTGGTTTAACTCTTTGCACCACAATGCCAAACTCAAATGAAAATTTTTTTTCACTTTTTAAAAAAGATTTATTTATTTCAAAGTCAGAGTCTCAAACCAGTGCCCATATGGGATGTCAGCACAGCAGGTGGCGGCTTTTTCCACTATGCCATAGCATCCGCCCCAACAAATGATAAATTCTTGACCTAGGCAGAAGACAATATACAATTGGTGCCACAGGTTAAGACTGGGCCATTTTCCTCCCTCCCTCCCTCCCTCTCTCTCTCTCTGCCTCTCCTCTCTGTATAATTCTGACTTTCAAATAAATAAATAAATCTTTAAGAAAAAAAAAAAAAAGGGCTGGCACTGTGGCGCAGTGGGTTAATGCCCTGGCCTGAAGCACCGGCATCCCATATGGCCGCCAGTTCAAAACCTGGCTGCTTCACTTCTGATCCAGCTCTCTGCTATGGCCTGGGAAAGTAGTAGAAGATGGCCCAAGTCCTTGGGCCCCTGCACTCTGTGGGAGACCTGGAAGAAGCTCCTGGCTTCAGTGTCATTCAACCCCCACCATTTCGGCCATTTGGGGAATGGACCAGTGGATGGAAGGCCTTTCTCTCTTTCTCTGCCTCTCCTTTTTCAAAAGAGGAAATCCAAATGGCCAACAGACAAATGAAAAAATGCTCAGGGTAACTAGCCATCAGGGAAATGCAAATCAAAGCCACAATGAGGTTTCACTTCATCCCAGTTAGAATGGCTTTCATACAGAAATCAACAAACAACAAATGCTAGCAAGGATGGGGGGGTGGGCGCAGAAGGTATCCTAATCCACTGTTAGCAGGAATGTAAACTAGTACAGTCACTATGGAAGATAGTACGGAGATACCTCAGAAATTTGAATATAGATCTACCATATAACCCAGCCATCCCACAAATGGAAATCTACACAAGCAAATGAAATCAGCATATGAAAGAGTTATCTATACCCCCATGTTTATTGCAGCTCAATTCACCATAGCTAAAATATGAAATCAACCCAGATGTCTGTCAACTGAAGATTGTAAAAAGAAATTTATGGGATATGTACACCATGGACTACTACCCAGTGGTTAAAAAAAAAAAAAAAAAAGAGATCCTGTCCTTTGCAACAAAATGGATGCAACTGGAAACCATTATACTTAGTGAAATAAGCCAGTCCCAAAAAACAGATACCATATGTTTTCCCTTATCTGTAGTTAACTAAACAGAGTATCTGAAAGGTAATTTACAGAAGTGAAATTGACACTTTGAGATGCAATGACTTTGAAGAGCCCTTGTCTGAACTATTGAGGAACAGTTTTTTTTTTCCCCATACTATTTATAGAACTCTTTATTTAATGTAGGGTTAATCTTAAGTGTATAAAGTGAACTGAAAATAGATCTTGGGGCCAGCTCTGTGGCATAGCAGGTAAAGCTGCCACCTACAGTGCCAGCATCCCATATGGGCACCAGTTCCGAGTCCCAGATGCTCCACTTCCGATCCAGCTCTCTGCAATGGCCTGGGAAAGCAGTGGAAGATGGCCCAAGTCCTTGGGTCTCCACACTCATGTGGGAGACTTGGAAGAAGCTCCTGGCTCCTGGCTTCAGACTGGCACAGCTCCAGCCACTGCGGTCAGTTGAGGAATGGACCAGCGGATGGAAGACCTCTCTCTCTCTCTCTCTCTCTCTGTCTCTCTGTGTAACTCTGACTTTCAAATAAATAAATAATCTTTAAAAAAGAAAACGGATCTTAGTGGGGCTAGCGCTGTGACGTAGTGGGTAAGGCCACTGCCCACAGTGCCAGCATCCCATATGGGTGCATGTTCACTTTCTGGCTGCTCTACTTCCCATCCAGCTACCTGCTAATGTGCCCGAGAAAGCAGCAGAAGAAGGCCCAAGTCCTTGGGTCCCCACACTCATGTAGGAGATCTGAAAGAAGCTCCTGGCTCCTGGCTTCGGATAGGCCCAGCTCTGGCCGTTGAGGCCATTTGAGGAGTGAACCAGCAGATGGAAGACCTCTCCTTCTCTGCCTCTACCTTTCTGTAACTTTGCCTTTCAAATAAATATATAAATCTTTTAAAAAAGAAAATCAATCTTAGTAAAAATTAAGAATGGGAATAGGAGGGGGAGGAGGAAGAAGGGTGGGAGTGAAGGTGGAAGGAAGGGGAAGAGCAGGGTGGGAAGAATCACTATGTTCCTAAATTTGTATTTATGAAATGCACGAAGCTTGTATACCTTAAATAAAGATTTCTATGTACAAATAAATAAATAAAATACGACAGAATGAGATAAAGAAAAAGAAAAGAAAGTATAATATGAAAGATAAGTAAATGAGTAAGAATATCCAAAGAAATCCTCCGTTACAGAATAATTCAAGGAAGTAATTCATAAGGGAGAAATTCTAGCCTGGTTTGAAAAGGGAACTGATCAACATGGCAACAGCTAAATAGAGTTTATGGGTTATGCGAAAACTACTTTATAATTCAGAAATTAGGTGATGCCATTGTGGCAAAGCAGGTTAAACCACTGCCTGCATCTCATATGTACCAGTTTGAGTCTCAGCTACTCCACTTTCAATCCAGCTCCCTGCTAATGTGCCTGGCAAAGCAGCAGAAGGTAGCCCAAATGCTTGGGCCCCTTGATCCAGGTAGGAGACACAGAAAAAGCTCCTCGCTCCTGGCTTCCAGTCTGACCCAGCCCTGGCCATTTAGGGAATGAACCAGCAGATGAAGAGCTCTATATATAACTCTCCCTTTCAAATAAATATATATTTTTAAATGCTCAGAAGTCATGCTGTAGACACAGGGTCTTCTAAACACAATGGAAGAAAAGGAGTCAATCCAGAAAAGGGGCACAAAAATGAGCCGAAAACTTTGTAACAGAAGAAACTAAAACTACTTACCACTGGGTTGAATTTATTTCCCTGGTGTTTCTTAATTGAGCCAACATTCTGTGGTAAGCAAAAAGAGAACCGAAATTAACAATAAAAATGGGTCTTTATTGACTATAATGAAATATCTCTTCTAATTTTGAATTTACACCAAAAGATAAATTACAATTATAAAATTTTATCACTGTTAACTGAAAATAGTTAAGAACAAACAGTAAAAATACTAGCTTCTTAATATACTCATCTAGGTGCATTTGGCATTTGGTTAACTGCCACTTGGGGTGCCTGCATCCCAGATCAAAGTGCCTGAGTTCAAGTCCTGGCTTGACTTCCAATACAGCTTCCTACTAATGTGCACTCTTGGAAGCAACAGGCGAAGGCTCAAGAACTTGGGGCCCCGCCACAAATATGGGAAATGCAGAAAGGGCTCCAGGCTCCTGTCTTCATTCTAGCTCAGACCTGGCTCCTGTAGGCATTTAGGGAGAGAACCAGCTGATGGAAGATCGCTTTCTCATGTGTGTGTGTGTGTGTGTGTGTGTGTGTGTCCTTCTTTGCCTTTCAAATAAATACATTTTAAAAAACAAAAGAGGGGACTTGATATTGTAGCACTGCCATCTGCAGTACCAGCATCCCATACGGGCACTAGTTCAAGTCCTGGCTGCTCTGCTTCCAATACAGATCCCTGCCTGGGAAAGTAGCAGAGGATGGTGCAAGTCCCTGGGCCCCTGCCACCCATGTGGGTGACCCAGAGAAAGCCCCTGGCTCCTGGCTTTGATGTGGCCCAGCCCTGGCCATAACAGACAGCTATTTGGGGAGCAAAGGAATAGATGGAAGATATCTGTCTCTCCTCCCTCTGTGTAACTCAAATAAATAAATCTTAAAAAAAAGAAAAAAGAAAAACACATGTGCACATATACTCACACAAATGTGCTCTTAAATAAACAGCTAGTTTCTTAAAAAGTATATCGTTCTCAGACATTTGTAATGTTGATAACTGGGATCGGCACTGTGGGTAAAGCTGCTGTCTGCACTGTAGGCATCCCATATGGGCAATGGTTCCAGTCACGGCTGTTCCGCTTCTGATCCTGCTCCCTGCTAATATGCCTAGGAAAGCAGCAGAAGATGGCCCAGTTGGGGGACCAGGAAGAAGCTCCTGGCTCCTGACTGTTGCAGCCATTTGGGTAGTCAACCAGCAGATAGAGACCACTATGTCTCTCCTCTAACTCTTTCAAAGAAATAAATAAATCTTAAAAAAGAAAACAGGCCTAAAAAAATCCATCATCTGTATATTTAAAATATCTTTTCACCTAAAATTATAAGGCTGACTGATTTTAACTTACTGAGAATAAATTTTTTCTATACAAATAAATTCTAATTATATTTAATTTCAGTTTTTTTTTTTTAAATAAATGATCTTGTATTTATTTTGAAAGAGTTAGAGAGAAACAGCGAGAGGTACAAAGAGAGATTTTCCATGTGCTGGTTTACTCCCCAGATGGCCACATAGCCAGGGCTGGGCCAGGGAAAAAATAGGAGCTTCATCTGGGGCTCCCACTTGAGTGACAGGAGCCTAAACACCTGGGCCATCTTCCGCTTTTCCCAGGTCATTATCAGGGAATGTGATCAGAAGTGGATCAAGCCAGGACTTGAACCAGCACCCATACAGAATGCTGGCAGGTGAGGGCTTTATCCGCTATGCCATAAAGCCAGCCCCTAAATTTCAGGTGCTGATGGTTCTATGTGGTAGGCACTGCTAACTGCTTCTTGGGTTTATTTTCCATTAAGAATCTTGACTGTTCAAGAGCAGTAATGGGCTCTGCTAATTTCTTACTTTTGAGCTTTTCAGGCCAGGAAGAGTAGACAGGGATAGGTAATGTAGTTAAGATCAAAGACTTACACAAAACTTACAAGTATGTCTTGAGGTAGACTCGGGACTGATTCTGGGAAAGCATTTGCTTTTCTGATGAGAACAAGTGTCTGACACTACCAGTCTCCCCCACTTTCTAACTTTGAATCTGTATACAATGTCTAGTGCTACAACAATCATACTATTATCATAAGCAATAGCTATGAGGATTAAAAGTTTGTGAAATTGGCCGGCGCCACGGCTCACTAGGCTAATCCTCCGCCTTGCGGCGCCAGCACACCAGGTTCTAGTCCCGGATTCTGTCCCGGTTGCCCCTCTTCCAGGCCAGCTCTCTGCTGTGGCCAGAGAGTGCAGTGAAGGATGGCCCAAGTGCTCAGGCCCTGCACCCCATGGGAGACCAGGATAAGTACCTGGCTCCTTCCATCAGATCAGCGCGGTGCGTCGGCTGCAGCGCACTGGCCACGGCGGCCATTGGAGAATGAACCAACAGCAAAGGAAGACCTTTCTCTCTGTCTCTCTGTCCACTCTGCCTGTCAAAAAAAAAAAAGTTTGTGAAATCATAAGACTGACATAATAGAGAGGTAAAATAAGCTGGGGATCTGTAACAGCACTGCCCCGCAGCTGAACCAAGGCTAATTACGCCTACTTCCGGATATCCTGGCATGTGAAAAAATTAAGTCCTTTATTTGCTTAAACCACTGCTAGACTTTCTGTACTTGCAGTCAATACATTCCAAAGTGGGAGAGCCTAAAACCTGAAACAGTGATCTTTTTTTTTTTTTTTTTTTTTTTTGACAGGCAGAGTGGATAGTGAGAGAGAGAGAGACACAGAGAGAAAGGTCTTCCTTTGCCGTTGGTTCACCCTCCAATGGCCGCCGAGGCTGGCGCACTGCGCTGATCCAAAGGCAGGAGCCAGGTGCTTCTCCTGGTCTCCCATGGGGTGCAGGGCCCAAGCACTTGGGCCATCCTCCACTGCACTCCCTGGCCACAGCAGAGAGCTGGCCTGGAAGAGGGGCAACCAGGACAGAATCCGGCGCCCCGACCGGGACTAGAACCCGGTGTGCCGGCGCCGCAAGGTGGAGGATTAGCCTAGTGAGCCGCGGCGCCGGACTGAAACAGTGATCTTAATAAAAAGTATATACATCATAAATAATATTTTTCTTAAAAATTCAGGCTGACAGCCATAAACATGTATTTCAGAATTTTACAGAGTCACCCTAATATAGTCATTTGTCTATGCTGAATGGTTCAGGATTACTGTACTGAGTTATTTAAACCTTCACCACAAATTCTACACCTGTTGAATACCACACACACACACACACACACACAAATATTTTTGTGTACTTCAATTAAAGACAGCTACCAAATCTTTTATCATTCAATATATTTCCACAGACAATGAGACAGTCTGGTAGAATGGAGCTGCCAGTAAATTAAAATAGAGTAAGACCATGGTAAGAGCAATTTTAGAAGAAAAGTGAGAAGCTTGTGTTTAAAGCTTTAGTTTGAAACATCGGAAAGATACTAAGTAGAATCTTCAGTAGGCAGTTGTATATGTACAGAGAGGTAGGGAGAGATCCAAGCTGAGAACATAAAATTTAAAAGTCATCTGTTTACAGATATTTAAAGTAATGAAATTAGATGAAATCACCAGGATTATTAGGGGAGACAGAAAAGAAAACAGGTCTAAAACTGAGCCTCAAGACATATAAACTTGGGGCCTGGGCTGTGGTATAGAAGGCTAAGCCTCTGCCTGTAGTGTCAGCATCCCATATGGGTGCCAAGTTCAAGTCCTGGCTGCTTCACTCCCTATCCTGCTCCCCGCTAATGCACTTGGGAAAGCAAAAGGTGGCCCAAGTACTTAGGCCCCTGCACCCATGTGGGAGACTCAAAAGAAGCTCCTGGCTCCTGGACTTGGCCTGGTCCAGCACTGGCCACTGTGGCCATTTGAAGAGTGAACCAGTGAATGGAAGTGCTCTCTCCGTCTCTGCCTTTCAAATAAATAAGTAAATCTTAAATAAATGATTTTTAAAGAGAACGTATAAAATTGAGGGTTAGAAGAGGTAGGATCACCAAAGGACACTAAAGAGATCAGAAGAGAAAAATCCAGGAAAGTATAGTATCCTCAAAGCCAAGTGAAAAAATTCAAAGAGGAGTAAGGAAATTATCAAACTCTGTGAAAAAGAACTTAGCACTGTCATTGGCTATTAATGTAAAAATCACTGTTAATCTTGACAAAGTAACTTTTTTTTTCTTTTGACAGGCAGAGTGGACAGTGAGAGAGAGAGAAAGGTCTTCCTTTGCCGTTGGTTCACTCTCCAATGGCCGCTGCAGCTAGCGCACCGCGCTGATCCAAAGCCAGGAGCCAGGTGCTTCTCCTGGTCTCCCATGGGGTGCAGGGCCCAAGCACTTGAGCCATCCTCCACTGCACTCCCTGGACACATCAGAGAGCTGGCCTGGAAGAGGGGCAACCAGGACAGAATCCGGTGCCCCGACCGGGACTAGAACCCGGGGTGCCAGCGCCACAAGGCGGAGGATTAGCCTAGTGAGCCACGGCACGGCCCAAAATAACTTCTAGTGATGAGGTGAAACACTGACAGGAATCCAAGAAAGAACATAATTGGTGTTATGGTTTAGATGTGATTTGTTCCCCCAAAAGTTCAAGTATTAGAAACTTTGTTTCCAATGAGCTTGATGTTAAGAGGTGGGGTGTGTGTGTGTGTGTGTGAGTGTGAGTGTGTGTCAGGGGGCAAAGTCCTTGTAAGGGATTAAGCTATTAGAAAAGCTTAAGCCTGGGGCCGGTGCCGTGGCTCACTTGGCTAATCCTCCGCCTGAGGTGCTGGCATCCCACATGGGCACCAGGTTCTAGTCCTGGTTGCTCCTCTTCCAGTCCAGCTCTCTGCTGTGGCCGGGGAGGGCAATGGAGGATGGCCCAAGTGCTTGGGCCCTGCACCTGCATGGGAGACCAGGAGGAAGCACCTGGCTCCTGGCTTCGGATCGGCATAGTTCCAGCCGTAGCGGCCATTTGGGGGGTGAACCAACAGAAGGAAGACCTTTCTCTTTTGTTTCTCTCTCTCATTGTCTGTAACTCTCTACCTCTCAAATAAATAAATAAAATCTTAAAAAAGAAAAGAAAAAAAAGAAAAGCTTAAGTCTAACTGGTGGTATGCCCTCTTCACACGTGCTCCCAG